AAAACCATTATACCCTGATTTCCCATTTTCAATGGGTTTAGGGTATAAAAACATAAAAGTGGTCCACAGTACATCTGTATACTTATTGGCTTTTTTGCGCATACATTTCTTATGCAATTGCTGTTAGATAATCTGGTAATTTTACTAAAGGTAAAAAAAAAAACACTCAAAACTTGGAAAAACTTTAGGAAGTGATTTATTGCTAACCAATAAGCTAGCAAATAAATTAAAAAAAAAAAAAAAACCTAAAAGAAAGCTACATATATAGAACTACCAAAAAGGCTAGATTTCCTAATCTGGTTTTTTCGATTTATTCCTTCAAGATCTGACGGATAAAATGAATAATGACAACACTGACACTAATTGCAGTAAATAAATATAAATATATATAAAAAAATAAATATATATAAATCGACTTTAAGACTTTATAAAATAAAATAAAAACAAATATTTGTGTATAACGAAATAAATCATTTTTCGTTGAAAATTTAAATTATTTGAAATAATTTCTAGCTGACCTAGTAGAGCTTATATTTGCTGCGCCCCCAACAAATATCAGGTCAATCAATTAGAAATGTATATCTGTGGATAGTGAAAGATAAGAGGCGTATATTATGAAATGAATAATGACTGTTTTGTTATCCGTCCGTAACAAACCATTTATTACTCAAATCATTATATTATCTTCTTAGAGCGTGAATGATTATAATTTTGACTTAAAAAAAAAACTTTCATATTAAATGCTTATTCCCATGTTCATTAGGTTCAACAAATATTCGAAAAATAAACTTGTAAGTAAACAAAATTAAGCGCTTAAATCCAATGAAAACCGAAAGTTCATTTTAAGTGTTGATTTGTGTATCTTGAGGAAGCACCAAAGCTTCTACTTAACAAAATCATTCACTAAACGTTTCATTCATCAAATTTTAATGATGCGAAAACGTTAAGGCATTCCACTTACAGTCTGACTGCCTGACAGCCTGTTTGGCGTGCTCAACAAGAAGTCATTTGATTTGACCAGCAGAAGCTTTTCATGTTTATTCTCAAATAATTGCCAACACGTGCCCTATCAGCGTCAATCAACCAAACAGAGAGTGCCTGGGTCGGGGGCAGGACACGGCTCTCTGCAGGATGCAAACGTTTTCACACTTATGCACAGCGCTTAGTGCATTCAAAACAACCCGCATGTATATGTATGAGTATATTCATAAACAATGTTTATACACATACATGTGCTGTGCTACCTGTCCGGGTGGTTGTTCACGTCCTAAGTAGCCAGATTGCTAAATAGAGGCTGCCTTCGTCTGGCCGATGCTTCTAAGGCGATAAGAGCTCGCCTCTGTGCCCCGTCGCATTGTCATTGTCATTGAGGCAGCGCGTCTCACGCTGTGCGTTTCTGTGGCAATTTAATCAAATTAGTTTTCTCACGTGTTGTCCTTTTTATCCCATCTCCATCGCCCACCGCCCCCCTCACAGCAGGCAGACCAGTTAATCAAAAAATAACAGAGAGCGCAAAATCCCTTTATGAACAAGGACAAGAACAATGCCTCTGCATATTATTGAGCATAGCCTCATGACTTAGTTGAACGGGAATTTGCGCTATACTTCAAAGCCGCAATAACTGATGGCAAAGGTGGTCCTATTTCTTTCTAAAAAGCCCATTGGTGTCGGAAGGAAAGAGGCCAAAATTAGTTTTAGAGATCTGAAAATATTACCTCAATACCTCAGCTGAATGCGCTAGCTGTTGAATCCTTGCTAACAAAGCCGTATGCAATCACAAAATACATCATTTTTAAGAATTCAGTTCAGATGAGCAGTTATTTACTCGTTTTACATTTTGAATTTCTAGCTGTGAAGCTGTTGAAGATACTTCTCCAATCCTACACCAATCCAATCTGCCATGTCTACAATGGGAATAGATATAGAATAGTAGATATAAGCAATTGAAATGAACACTAACAAGTAAGAACGTTGCAGTCGGGCGTTACCGACTGCGGAATACTCATTCACATCCCATCCGCAATGTAGTCGCTAAGTTTTGTTCTAATACTATAGACGCTTCATTTTTGGCCAACTCATGGAACAAGTTAACCGTAACCTAGCTGCAAAACTTGGATACTTACACTCCAAAAATGTGGAAATTACAGGGTATTTTTTGATATGCCACGCTCCGAAAGAGGCGTAATAGTATTATTTGGCGAATCGACAGATAACTTAACTATCCATATTTTAAGCTTATAGCCCTCAAACAATATGATTTGTGGCATATCGGAAAATGCATTTTCGGATTTGCCACGCCCCTAGAGGGCGGATCGGGATAATGTTAGCACTCGCTAGCTTTGATAGCGCCGAAAAAATTGTGTTCATACGCACAGACAAGACGGACATTACACAAAACCAAATGAATATAGAATATAAGTGCTCCGTTTTGGCACACTTTCGGCCAGATCTCGCTCATTCTGATTGCTGAACAAATTTTGAAATTGCGGAATGTGGGAAT